TTATCTACAGCAGGGATGTTGTGTTTAGAGAAGACGAGTTCCCACACTTGGAATTCCTCAATACACCCGCAATCTCGGACCAAAATGGCCCCGCACCGACGCTATCACCGTCGCTACCAACACCACAATTGCTACCTCCAATAGCCTCACTACTAAAACGCAGCGTCAATGCGCTTGCCGCGGAAGTAGTAGTAAAGATGAAGAAAGTCAAACACAAAACGAACGCTCAGAACGAGAATGAACACTCGTGTCTACTTGATGATCCACTCGACATTAACGAACGAAAAGAGCACCTCACTCATATCTACGCTCTATTGGCTATCAGACACATATCTGAACCAAAGACGTTCCTAGAATCCCAGAAACTACCAGAAGCACAACACTGGGAGAAGGCATCCATTTGTGAATACAAATCATTGATTGACAACAAAACGTGGGTCCTCACAAAACTACCGACAGGGAGAAGGGCCCTACAGTGTCGATGGGTATTCGTTGTAAAATACAATGGAGACGGCAGTATTGACCGCTATAAAGCTCGCCTGGTAATAAAAGGTTTTTTGCAAAAGTATGGCGTTGACTACGATGAGATATTCTCTCCAGTGATCCGCATGGAAGTGCTGCGACTTTTACTGACGATTGCAGCACTCCTTGACCTTGAGATCCATCAAATGGATGTTAAAACCGCTTTCCTGAACGGATACCTCGATGAGGAAATTTACATGCTGCAACCTGAAGGGTTTACTGTTCGTGGAAAAGAGCACTTAGTCTGCAAGCTTTTGAAGAGCCTATATGGTCTCAAGCAGGCACCTCGGATCTGGTATCTTACCCTGTGCTCTTTTCTTCTCACCATGAAATTCCACAAACTCATCAAAGACCAATGCGTTTTCATTGGAGTTGTGGATGGAGCTACATGCTACATTCTAGTCTATGTGGACGACCTCCTCATCATAGCCCCTACGCTTGATATCATTAACAACATAAAGAACGCTCTCAAGCAGCGCTTCAAAATGTCTGATCTCGGTGAAGCTCAATACATCTTAGGCTGGTCAATCGTGCGCAACCGTACGGACCGAACCATTTTCATCCACCAAGAGAAGTACGCTACCAAAGTCCTGGATCGCTTCTCTCATCTTGATGCACACCCGGTTGGTACACCCGCTGATCCCAGTGTGAAGCTGACGGAGGCCATGTGCCCCCAAACGCCAGAAGAAAAACATGAGATGAAAGCGATCCCGTACAGAGAGGCAGTTGGTAGCTTCATGTACTTAATGATGGGAACTAGACCTGATCTCGCATATTTTCTACGAGAAGTCAGTCAATTCCTGGTGAACCCAGGAAAACCTCACTGGAATGCCGTTAAGAGAGGATTGAAGTACTTAAACGGTACGCGCAATCTTGGCATCACCCTTGGTGGAAAGCAAAATCTAGAGCAGTATAAGTCAAAGCATTATCTCACTGCATACTCCGACGCAGACTACGCCAATTGCCCAGAGACACGACGATCTGTGGGAGGCTATATCGCATATATGTGTGGAAGCCCAATTTCATGGCAATCGAGAAAGCACCACACCGTAGTTCTGTCCACAACAGAGGCAGAATACATAGCCCTATGTCACTGCATGCAAGAAGTTATTTTCTTAAAGCTTCTTTTAGTAGAGCTTAAACACGAAAGCTCACATGCTATCACCCTATTTGAGGACAATCAAAGTTGTATTAAACTTTCCTACAACCCAGAACTGCATGGCAGAAGCAAGCACATTGACATTCGGTATCACTTTGTACAAGAAAAAGTAGAGCGAAAAGAATTTGAAATTATGTACTGCAACACCAAAGAAATGGTAGCAGACATTTTTACAAAAGCACTATCAAAACCCCTTTTTATAAATCTAAGAGGGTCACTATGTAAGACACTTATACAAAAATAAGAAAAAGAAAAAAAAGGAAAAGAAAAATACTAATCGATATGTAAAATTTATACAGCAACAAGTTTTGTTAAAAGTAAATACGTATTATTTAAATCTTAAAGATTAGCACGAGGAATGTCCTCAATTGAGTACACACCATCTACTGTCTCAAAGAAACTTGTCAAAAGCTCCTCCCGGTTAGGGAAGAAGTGATAGGTGTCGGAATCGATGAACACAAACTTGTTACCAACCCAGGCACGAGCGATACAATGCCATGTACCTGCTCGTTGCCCAGGCCGCCTACCTATAATCAGCAGAGCCGATTTTCGACTCCGCACGATGGAGGCAGGTCGCTTGGGTCTGCTCTTGAACCCCGACTTTGTGTTCAGATAAATCAGCTGTTTGCGCCGCTTCTGCAAGCCCTTCTGCAACGCATCCATAGTGTAGGCACCGTAGCGTGGATGTCCATGATCCACACTTGGGCTCACCTCTACCAACCGAGCCAAAATAGGCCGCAACATGGCTGGGGTGATAAAATCCCTAGTTTGAAGAGCGTTGCTGATCGATAAGAGACCGCACATTGAGTACCGGTCCGACAGCATCTCTTGATGTTGGCACAAAATTGATGTGCGAAGACTGACAGGCATCTGTGTATACAAAAGATAGTATATTAGTACTGTGCAAATCACATGAACCATAGCAGCAAAATATTGATTGCAGTAAATCAATATGACAAAACCCAAGGTTATTGAGACCAGTGGAGACGATTCGCTACCGAGTGAAACAAGTTCACTCAGAGCTAGCCCAGACTATAGCGTCAGGCGCGCATCGCACTAAGTCTCGCTCCCTTGAGGATTGCACTTGATCAACACCTTCAATACTTGCATGCAAATCAGAAGAAAACCGCACCTGTGCAAAAGTTGAAAGATCAGGAAATGAACACTTAATGCACTCAACGAGAACGATACGGAAGAGAAAGCAAGCGTATTTCACTAATACTTAAACTGCACGACGGTAAAGAACTTTGCGACCTTCGGAAAGGTATAGACATACTTTCTAGCAACTCACTACCGCAAGAAACAGTCGATTATCCTCGAAGTAGTAATTTAAGTCAAAGTCCTCAACGTCTTGAATGCAAATCAGCTGCACCATCTGGGATAAGAACTGCCCCCAACTTGGGACACAGAGAGGCTGTCAATGATGTGTCCTAATTGGTGACATAGCGTACAAGTTATTGTACAGAATGTCTTACCATACAAAATATGTTCTGGACCCAATCCTGCATAAGTCGATACATCACCTTTTACAGGAAAGATAAATCAATGGTGCCAGGAAACTCTCTGAAGACAGACTCATAAAATTCAATCACATCTCTTTTTTCTTCCTTCTACTCAAGCTCCTCCACCTTCCTCGCCTCACCTTCAATAATTTCTAATTGGCACTCGTTCCTGGGTAACAAGAGACAGTACAATTACACCAGAATACACCCGATTAGCATGCCCGAATATGCCAGACTCAGGAAGAGCCGGACACGGCATCAGCTGATGTGTCTTCGGGAGTATACGTATAACCGGAAGCTCGATGTCTGTCGGTTTCGAAACTTATATCTGCAAGACATTCACTGCGCTGGGGATATCTAACTCTCAAGACAAAGTGCAGGGTGAATAACCCGGAGGTAGTCATGCCATCGACACACACAAACAAAAGACCAAATCATTGAAAACTTGTTCAGCTAAATGCACATGCAGAGATACCGATAGCGTAGATACTGCAACTCCTTCCTACTTAGCGCACGCATAGTAGTAGCACTGGCAAATATCTCGAATGCCAACAGCATGTACATGCCACAATTGTAGCTATCGACCTGCACTCCAAGATCACTTTCGTACATTCGGACTCGGTACTTTCTTGGGGCGAAGTCTGGTAGCATCATTTGTCAGCAAGGGGGCGAACCTTCACTCCGTAGCTGATATTCATCGGGTCATAGACTAATACGTCTTTACATGTCAGGTCAATTATGACAGAGCACCAGTGATTCTTGCCGCAGATGATCGGAATCAAAATCTTCTCACCCGTAACACCTACAAACACGCCCTTCATCGTATAGATCGATAAATAGCCATTCATAACGTTCCCCGCGATGGACGTGTCGACTCCAATCGTGTCTACTCTTTCTGCAAACATCTTCAGCACTAAAGTGCTAACGGTGCAATCACCCAAGGGCAACTTGCCCACGAGCTCCAGCGCTTCAGCCTACATTCAAGAAGGTGTTATCAACGCTAGTAAACCCATTGTATCAATAAATGTACGTTAACTGTACCTGCACGGACAGAAGTGGGATAACCTTCAGCTTAGCAAGTATATCTGGGTCTGGATCAACTTGGAAATGCTCGGGCATCTGTAGAGTGAAATCAGTAGTCTCGATCCAGTTTATAGCTTTGTCTACGTGTTGTATGCTTTTCATCGCCCTGTGCCACTTTTTCATTACACCCAACGTCTCGGTAGTGTATGCTCCAACACCGATTACTTCCACCGCAATTTCTTGTTCGCCTAGATTTACACCCGATGAATCTTTATGTTTCTTCTGCAGGGCTGAGACTTTGGCGCTGCACTCCTCAATGAAGTCCTTAATACACGGGTTATGGATTCCACAGGATAAATTTTCTTCGCCGGTGGTAAGCTCGCTCTCTCGTGGGCTACAGGAGCCCTGGGAGTTTTACTGAACTCATACAGCTTGAATCGCGATAGGGTAGCGGCAGATGTATCGTATGTAGGCACGCCTTCAACAGCATCTCGCACTGCAGCCAGGCTCAAATTCGCTGCGTACAAGTCTGAGTCCTCCTGGACGATCGTGGCATTCTTTCTACGAGCAGCTTTCTTCGACTTTGCTGTTTGCTTTGGGCGCCCGCGGGATCTAGGAGGGCTCGCTACGTGAAATTCTTCATTCCCTACTTCTGGAAGAGTTGTTGTCAACTCTCGGGTTTTCGATTCAAGAT